TTCGAATCCCCTACACAACAAACAAGCACGCCCTTTCAGCCGAGGGGACGTTATAATGTGACTGTCAATCCCACTATTCGTTGGTAGAAGAGTATACCAAGAGTTGGCGGTGGGTGGTGGTGACTAGCTGCCTTCCCTCTAGTCTTACACTACTAAATTAAGGACGGCTAGCGCAGATAGCCATCGTGTAACTTTGCGCGAAATTCAAAACAAAACAAACAAACTTTTAAACAAGACTGACGTTTCGTTCTGACACAAAATTTGTAATGCCACCTTTTCCTTTTTTGCCTTCTCAACTGGATTACACTTAAACATCCAAACAAGTTACATTTCTTCTCTCTCTTATGACTTATGTTGTTACTTTGTTGGACGGACCATAACGTTTGGCACATTATTTTTCCTTGTCCTAAACGCCTTCTGCTTGAGCCCAACTTAAAAATATTTCCTAGTACAAATCAGAACTATATTGGAATGGGATTGACTATTATAGAAATTCCTGCTTTTAAATAAAGGTAATAAAAATCAGTTTCTCCCCTTGTATCATTTTCTCGAAGCTTTTTGAGTAGTAGTGTTAAACTCACAATAAAATAAATTGCTTAAAGTACAAGCAACACAGCTTTAGCCTTTGTAAAGATTTATGGAAGGAATTATGTTTATATAATATATATATAATTGTATTCAGGAGGCATTTATGAAATGCGTACGCATGAAGGAGGAAGATTTTTTTTAAAGCTTACACGGGAGTGGGGGGTTTCGACAAAAGCGTATGACGCTTTTTGAGAACAACCTTTTACATTTTATCTGCGATTTTTGTGTTTTTAATAAGGCAGATAAGAAAGCACTTTTCATTCAAAACCCACTATCTCGCCCACCCATGCCTACATTTTTCTCATCTTGGTGTACTTTATACGCATTTCTGTCGATCCTAATATTTCTTACGACACAATTTGTTTCTCAGCAACTATGGTGTTAGTAAAATCGGAGCCGGGTCAAATCACAGACTAGAATGAAAGGTCAGTACAAACTTCGATTTCGTCGTGACACTGCAGATGCAAGGCTACGGCTCAGACAATGCTACGTTAGTGAGGCTGCCCCGTTACGCCCCAGTGAAAGAATACATCAGATTGCAAACATCACCTAGTGTGCTCAAGTCAGAATCTTTAGAGCTATAGTTTCGTTAATTTCTGTTTTTAATGCTCTTTGTAACACATCTTATAACGAAATAAAACCTCTTCTGTCGTTTTTCTTTGGGGAAGGGGAGTGATCGATGATAGTACTTACAATAGATGGGGTCTGAGCAAAATGTACAAATGCGTACAAGATATGGGGGCGTGTGGTTAAAATAGCCAAATTTTTGTACACTTACTTTATGGCTGCTTCCTTTGAGTAAAGCAACCATACAACTTTAGTTCCACAATTTTGACACCAGATGGCGTATAAATTTGGCTAAGCTACCCACTGTACATTATTTTTAAAAGTACTGTAGCAAATTCTTTAAACAAAACGAACTTGTTTTCTTAAGAATTCTAATTAAAATATTTATCTGAATTCTTCCTGATCTACATCGTACGTTCTTTTTGTTCGGTTTGGTGGTAAGGAATTTGTTTCTTTCTATCATTTGAGTCTTTTGCTCTTGTCTTAAAAGTCTGTAATTGTCACTCCAAACAATAATGTTGTTAGTAATTGATTGTGGTATTAGAACAACTAACATTTATCACAAAGTCTTCTACTAATGATCTGTTTCTCGTTTCTGTTATTTTCTACATTCTTTTGGAGGCTGTGTTCGAAAGGAACCTTGTTCTGACGTAATGCCTTTAGAATCGCACTACTGAACGTAAACGAAATTCTTATCTTTAAATCTGGAGTTTCGTGAAAAAAAAAATCCACAACATAAATATTGTTCTGAACGAACGTAGGAATGTAAGATTTTATATCGCAGAATTGTAAGGTACAAATATCAATGAGCATGCGTCTATCATAAGACAATGGGAATGTTTTATTAGATGAGGTTTTCTATCAATCATAGAATTTCAAGGTACACTTGTCCAACAACATGAGTAATTCAAATAAGCCACAGTGATATAGCTGGCTGAAAGTTGTAAATTGTGAAGGTTAACTTGTTATACCACACGTTCTCATACAAATAAAATGCTTATAAAGATAAAACACGTGTAATCTTATGAATGATATTGTATAGATAGCACTGAAGTTACTGCTGCCATTTAAGTATAAAGAATAATAAAAATTATGATATCTAATTATCTTAAAGATTTTCTGACGATTATTGTGGTATGTATAAAAAACTACTTTTCCACCAGGTGTCAGTATAAACCTTTATTCAGCGTTGCTATTCATGCCAGGTGGTGTAGCGCTAAATTTAGAAATAATGGATCATCACGACCACGCCTCCCCAATAGAAAATCAGCATGAGTATTAAAATGGTTACTGTGTTTAATAATTATTCATAAAATCGACCATTGCTTAAAGGTTATTATTCTAAAGCAGTGGTAGTATTTGTGAGACCAGAGAGTTTTCTGCTAATGATAAAAACGTAATTTTATATTAAGAATTCCATATTAGAGACACGATTACAGTCCCGTTGATCCTTGTTTGAATGAATAATAAAAGCAACACGGAAAATGATACGAACTCGACAAAACTGTACCTGAGTCATTGTTATAAACATTTCCACAGCGGGTCTCTAGTGGTTGGACGAGCCGTTGCCACTCCCGTTTGGAGTTGTGTTTAAGTCACCAAGTGTTGATGTACGACCATACCCAAGTCGCATGCTAGGTATCTACTTTGTGTACTTACATCAGAGACGATTGGTAATGAAATATTACTTACATTTTGAAATTTATCATATGATAAGATAGTCCATGTCGTCACTAGCTTTGCATAAAATTTGAGCGAATTTTGAGATAAGTTGGGTACAGTTTGGGTTCAATATATGGAAGCTGAAGTAATTAAAAATAGTAAAATAATCCACATTTGAAGAAATCGGAGTGATGTTCCCCCTGCCCATGAAGTGAGGGGTCGATGTTCCCTTGCGACCCTGCACTACTACATTACTGTATGTGCCTCGAAAAGATTTTCTACGACCACCACGTATAGTCCACGTGTCTAGGCAAAACGTTGAAATCTATACACTGAAATACGAACATAGGACTGTCATGCTAGAAAAAGTGATTCCAGGCTTAGAGAACAAGGAATGGCAGTCTGCCTAATGTTGAAACGTGTAGGCTGTATGCATGTCGTTCGTGTTATACTCATTACAATTTTCTGTAGTCTTTTGTAAGTGTGTGTGTGTGTACTCGTTGCATTACACTGAAGAAAAAAAAACGAACCTTATAAAATTCGTGCCAGAATCATGTACAATTCGAGTACATTTCCATTTTTATTTAACATTTGGAGAGTAACTGAACAGGTCACATGAACATTATAAAATGATGTAAACATAGAACATCTTTACCTTCATCAAAATGACTATGTTGATTTTTTAAGGATGTTTATATATGTTGCTTTCGAATTATGCACCAGAGTTGTCCCAGTGTAAGTACAGAAACTATTTTTTGTCGTTTATTATCTGGCGTTAATTATTATATGTATAAAATATGTGTATTTTGAAGATTATGTGTTAAAAACAAAACGATTAATTAACGACCCCACTTATCTTCTCTCTCTCTCTTGATTTTACCCTCTAAGGTGTAGTTGATTAATAACTCCGGATGTTGTTGTTTTTTTTGCTATTTTTTGCAAAATCGTATATAAAATATAACCAACATAATACGTTTTTAACGTGAGTGGAAAGTCACAAACTCCCATCAATCCAATCTCGTGCAAAGTCGCGTGAATCTTATATAAGGTTAGCCTATTTCTTGTATAATAAATTAAAGGAAGAGAAATGTTATAAACTTCTTTCCCCTCCGCTTCATATTCAACGTGATTGTGATTTTGTGTTATAGTCAGCAGCTAGAAGAGCAGGCACAAGCTGTTCCAACTGCAAGACGACAACGACGACACTGTGGCGACGGAACCAGAATGGAGAACCGGTGTGCAACGCCTGTGGACTTTATTTCAAACTCCACAACGTAAGTCTGCAATATTTTAATCTAAAATCTAAAGAAACTTTAACTTTCTTTGTTTACTTAATTACGTGAAAGAGTGTCCAAACTTTTGAGTTTTCCCTCTCATTTTGTTTTATGAAGCATGTCAGTAAATCGGATATCTGAACGACATGAGTACTGCCTTCGATAAGTATGTAATTATGCTGTTATTTCAACTATATAGATAAATACATAGTTGGCAATCTACTGCATAAGATATGTTTGACCGAATGAAGTGCTTTTTTTCCATTAAATTAGCGTATATTTTTAAAACGAGAACGATTAACTTTGCTTTTATCGCCAGTAGCTTCCCTAACTTTTGTGGAAGTTTTTTTCGACTTACGAACTATCGCGCCGATCTCTGTCACCTAGCGGCGCTGCGTGCCTTAAAAGCCGTAACTGTTTCTAACTGAACAAGCAACGCTACACAAGGTCTATCTGATAGACTATAGGGAAGGCAGCTAGTCCACGAACCCAACGCAAAATCTGGGGCTACTGTAATCGAACAGTGGGATTTGACTGCCATTGTTATAACGTACCTACTCGAAAATTCAGAGCGCGATTTTGCGGTAAAGGGACGCGAAACATGAAACCTCGAATCTATCTTCCGTCACGCTAACCACTAAGCGGCTCGGGTTAAGTCACTAAATATTTAGGCAAGGGTGGGGACATAAAGTTTGGTTTAGTTTGTTTTAAATTTCGCGCTAAACTTCACGAGGGCTATATGTGCTAACCGTCCCTAATTTAGCAATGAAAGACTAAAGGAAAGGCAGCTAGTCATCACCAACCACCGCCAATTCTTGGGCTACTCTTTTACCAGCGAATATTGGGATTGATCATTACATTATAATGCCCCCACGGCTGAAAGGGCGACCCTCAGATTGCCGGGCCGGACATAAAGTACCTGTTACGCAAGATGTGGACGTTTGCTGTTCTACTCATTAAGCCATTTTAGTTCGCGTTTGTTGGCGTGAAAGTGTAAAAAGAGGGGCTGTTGTTTTGCTTTAACAAAATCATTAATAATTATCATGAAATTATATCTTTTATCTCAATTAAAAACGAGGACAGTAAAAGGTGTATCGGGTGTAAAGATGCCTCATTTTAATTACTAGTTACATAGTTCATTCAAACTGCACAACTTATACCATCTTTTTTTTCACTCCCTAAAATTATACTGTGCATTTTACTTTTCATGATCCCCTTTATTATAGTACAATTTTATTTCTCGTTATCCAGGAGTGCATAACACTTTCTTGTGTATTAATCTTTCAGCTGTCTCACCTATACAGTGTCTTTGGTCCTACTCGCTTATTCATTATAGATTACACGTCTCAACTGTTAGGTTGGGGGATAAAACAGCGTGGTCTTGATTGGGGGGGGGGGGGCTTCCTAGTGAAGATTATAGCGTGAAAATATATTCTAATAGTTATGCATCTCCGTTCTAGGGTGTTAATTAAGTAGCTCGTTGTTTAAATAACAGGTTTCTTGTAATTACTAGCCTACTGAATCAAACTTGTTGCGTGTTACAAATGATAGCCCTGCACCGGAAGAACGATATCCGAAACAAAGGCAGGCCTATTGATGAGGGCTTAAAGCTGTAGTTGACAAATGTTAAGTTAATTTATATAACGAACAGAAACGTCCCTTTCGACCAAACAAATATAAACAATACATCATTTTTAAAGGTGAAGCTGGCTGAGTAAATTTCTCCACAGGTACAATAGCCGTTAATCAACTCCAGGTGGCGTAGAGGTGGGAGTCAGGGGAATGTGATGGTACATAGGGAATTAATCCTTTGACCAATCTGTTTACTATATCAAAAAGGTAATTTCAATAACCCTTATAGTGGAGACATGATGCAATGGTTCTTTTGAAGAGATGAAAATTTCAAATTTTTTTCGGATCTTGCAGATCTCTAACATGTACATTTCTACCCATTCACAAAATTATTTATATTTCAAATTATCACAGTTATATTTCTGTTCTTTTTTTCTATTCTCTGCCTGAAAGGGTCCTTTGCAGTTTTTCTAATAACTACGTGGAAATTATGTTATTTCTTTTCCTGTTCCATAGATTCTTCATTTAAATACAAAACCATTAGAATAAAAAAAAAAAAACGAATTAAGTTTTGGAAGTTCGCTTTAAAAGTAGGGAGAAGGGTTACTTTCATCATACAATGACCTGGTTCAAAATATAGCTATCTAAAGTTAAAACTAACAAAGACGAACTTTAAGGATTAAGAAAACATTTTAAAACTTCTCGGCTGTTTTGTTCATCGTTACAATATTCTAGGAAATGATCTTATTCAAGTCAAAAGTTAAAACACTATAACAAAGATGTTTCAAGCTTAACTTCGTTTTTATGATAATGTATCATTTATTTTATCTTATTTTCATTTGTTCTCCACTTTTTCGTTTATTTGTTTGTTATTAAGCACAAAATTACACGATGGGTTATGTGTGCTGTGCCCACCATAGATATCGAAACCCAGTTTTTAGTGTTACAAACTTTAGACTTTCCACTGATCCACTGGGGGTACTCTACTCTTTCGTTTGAGCACTTAAAAATGTCGAAAATATTTTATTTAAGTTTTCCATATTTATAATTAGTGTTATTGGCGAAAAATAAGAGACCCCTCTATTAGTGATAGTAAATTACGCTACAATATATTTTGATAATCTAAAACAAATCGTTTAAGAGAAAATCATAATTGTAAGCAGTTCATGTTCGCAGTTTGAGCCTGAAGTAATTTGTCCAAAGATGCTAAGCCTCACTTAAACCTAGATTGTATATTTAATTGAAGGCTTTACTATCATCAAAGGTCATTGAGTTACATCTAATAAATATTCAGATTTTCTGGAGTTTCATTTACAACAGACAAATTTTTAGAGTTAAGTAAAGTCGCAAAAGAATAATTGTATTTGAATAATTTGCATACGCTAATGGAGTATATTGCCACAGATATATACGCCGTCTCGATCGTTATATCTAACACCTGTATATTTGATTCACGACAAATTCCCTACCATTCGACAGTGCAATGCCGCCCCGCAAAATATTATGTCTGAAGATGTATTAAAAGCCTTTCTGAAGAGAAATATTTGTAAAGCCAGACTTAAATGATATAGATCTCACGGAAACACCATTTCGAAGAAGGGAGTATTTGATGTTATCCATGAAAGTGGGAAGACTGGCACAGTAGAGTGTCTATGACAGCAACAGGCTCCAAAACTACACTAAGCGAATTCCGAGTAAACGTCCTTATCAACAAAGTTAAGGCTATGGTTATGAAAAACAACAACAACAACAACAAATTCCCACCAAAAATAGTAGCAATGAAACTGGACATATTTCTTGGTTATATCAACAAGATAATAAACAATCGTTTTAGTTGACACAGAAGTTTCATAAGCCAAACATTCACAAGGTTCTATTCACATCTCGAAACTTCAGAAGAAATCTACTCGTAAAACTGGATTTACAGCAACTCCATTTGACTACATAACTTTCAAGTACTCCGATGAAACCACAATGAACGCTTATATCTTTCGTGTTTTTAAACGTCGTCTTGGAAGCCAATCTCCAGGTGCAGTGAAAGCTCTGAGAAAAGTTGGAAAAGAAGTGTGGTGAAAGATTGATCTTGGCATCCTTCACAAGAGCTCGTTACAATGGGGATTGTGGTGTCGTGCAGTATGGGTAATTATGATAAGCAGAATGAGAATGGTCCACGATGGAAGAGGTTCCAAGGGCATCACGGGATATTGAACATTGTTTTTATAAAATACGAGTAACCTCAGTAGGAAAGAATTACGTTTTTTCGAAGTTTCACTTGCAACAGACATTGGTTATACAGCTAGATCTAGTATTAGTAGGAGGAGTTGATTTCTATATCATCGCTTACAAAAGTCACTCGCTGTAGTTTAAAACTAATAAGTGAAAGATATAAGTACCAATAATTATCGCTGTAAAAATGATTTATAATTTTTTAAGTGTCTAATGTATTAAAGCTTGAGTTTAGTGTTAACTTAAAAATTTTAAACACAAGTAAAATCTTTAATGGTTGTGTTTTGAATGTATTTTACTGTGTATTATTCTCGTACAATTCTAATGAAATCTTTACAATTAAACTTTAATAAGTTATCAACACATAATATATACATATTTAACGAAAGAGGCCTTTTTAGTTGTTTTGATTTATATCTGTACGGAAGATAATTGAGTTTTTGTTCTTAATGTTCAAACATTTATATAAATTGCAATATCAAATTAAATTAAAATAAACTTAGGGTTGGTCAATGACAGAAACGTTTTCGTGTTAAACCAACTAGTTCAGTACCCGAACTTGACTTCAACAACTTTGGTTCCAAGAGTTTCGATTAAACTGCTGTTTAAATTATTTAAATTAGGAAGGAACATGGCTTAGTAGCTGAAATAAATAAGTGTTCCATAGCCGGATTTTTGAAAGGATATACGGATTCTTGCTACTACATGGTTTGATTCACATATACTGAATCTTATATTTCATTAAAACGTAATATAGGAAAATAAATTAATTTTCAGGTATCTTAGAAATTCAGCAGGGATCGTCTCAGATCTTAGACGTATGTGTGTAGTGTACAATGCATTTGTAGTTATATGAACTTTGTTATATTTTATAGTTATATGAAACCCGATTTTTAGCGCTATAGGCCATCAGACTTATCACTGAGCCACCAGAGGACAAAAAAAAAAAGAGGAAGATCAGAAAAGTTAATGTTATTTTAAGAAACTTCATTATATGGAGCCCTGAGATTTACATGTGAGCCACTGTGAGGTATTTATGTAGACTAAGGACAATTGCTTATTGCATTCTAAATTAAACTAATGTCGTGAAACTTAAGTTTTTCTGATAAGGTCACGAAATCACTTGCTATTACAAATCAATAAATTAATTATTGTAAATGTAGCGTGTTGTTGCTTAATATTTTTGGGAATCTCTGTGATTA